GCATCCTCCGGTGGACAAAGCCAAGCGTCGAGTGACCAGAAGGCTGCACAAACTGCCAACTTGTGCCCCCCTTGCTCTCACTTGAGGTGAGTTCAGGTGGCCATCGGGAAGGCGAAAGCCTCCAAAGCCATGGGTCCCGACGGAATATGCATGGTGATGCTGAAAAATTTGGGTCCTGCGGGAGTAGCGTACCTAACGGAGGTCCTCAATCTGTCTATGGCCACTCTCATCATCCCAGACATCTGGAAGGTGGGGAGAGTGGTCCCACTGCTCAAACCGGGGAAACCTGCCAACAAAGGAGATTCGTGTCGGCCGATAACACTCCTTTCCCCGGTAGCGAAGACACTCGAGGTCTTGCTGCTCCCGTATTTCACGAACCACCTGACCCCAGCGAAGCATCAGCATGGTTTCCGTAAAGTGCACAGTACAACAACAGCACTCTACGCCATAAATACTCTGATAACTCGTGGCCTTAACCGTAACCGTCCCTGTGAGAGAACGATTCTAGTAGCGTTGGACTTGTCAAAGGCACTATTTGGGGCAAGGACAAAGAAACATTGCTGGCAACATACAAGGCAATAGGCCGGCCGGTTTTAAACTACGCAGCACCAGTGTAGTCGCCGGGGACTAGTAGGACGCAGTGGACGAATCTACAGACAGTACAGAACACCGCACTCAGGACAGCGACTAGATGCCTCCTGATGTCGCCAGAAGATCACCTTAACAACGAGACATAAATGCTCCCAATTAAGGAGCACAACATAATGCTCTGCAAGCAGTTTCTGATCGGGAGCCATAGAAGTGGCCATCCGAACAGACAGCTGCTTGCAGAGGAGCCCTCGCCTAGGCAGGTCAGGAGGCATCTATACGAACTGACGGGCGAAGTCCAGAGGTTCATCAAGCAGCCTCTGGACCCGTCAGCTTACCGACTGGCCCTGAACGGCATTCACAGGGAGTCAGTCTTGAGTTATGTAGACTCTAGACCTGTGAATGCCGTTATAGGCACACCACCACCAGACATAGACGAGACCGAGCTTCATCTGCCTCGGGAGACAAGAACAACAATAGCCCAACTTCGCTCTGGCTACTGCAGCAGGTTAAACTCATACCTGGGCAGATTAGATGCAAATGTGCCAAATGAGTATCCGGCATGCGGAGAGACACTCCCCGACTCGAAACTTCTCTTCGTATG